AAACACCCCTCGCCACACGCACACAAAAATCATATTTTTAGGATACTCGCTGTTGAACACTTTGCAGCAAAGTGTAGCAATGTAATATTTAGCAGTTGAAGTCTTATGGCGGCCATATAGAACATACAACACAAAAACGGCTGAAGAACTCAGTCCATGTAAATCTTGACAGATATGGTTTGGTTAGTTTCGATTGAACCTTGTGACTGACAGATGTGAAGTGGTTTAGGTGATTTAAGTCAGTAGGTCTCATCTCTGGTTGGATGTAATATACATGGCTTGTCATTTTTGTGACTATAATTACTGCTCGTAGTCACAAGTCAATTGCTCGAGTGATCAAGATGACCATGTTTCTGATTTTTTTATTTCTTAAGATCTATATATACGGCTAAGATCGGGCTCGCCCGATCTTGCTATTTAATCGAGACTAGGGGATCACGTTGGGGGTCGGCCTCGTAATGGATCGGGCCACAGTACGAAGGCGGGGTGTCAAGTTCAAGAATCAAGGTGCCCGTCGAGATTGAGGCCAGCAGCGATCGAGACTAAGTATGACCAAATTTGAGTGAAGTACAATAACGGAAAGGCGAGATCAAATCAAGGGTGGTTATTCGTACCAATCATGAGATTTGCTTCCATAATAGAATTGTACCATAACTAGGACTCTTCTAATATATAAAGAGGGCCCTAATCATTTCGTAACCTACATACATTCACACAGATAAAAGGAATATCATATTCTCTCTTTAATTCACGTCCTCTTGTTCATTAGTTTGTTGCTTTTTAACTGTTCTAGCTCTACTTGCTCGAGGGTATTCCAACTCGAGGGCATTGTTTAAACACTGGTTCACTTTACATTATTGACAATTTCCACTGCTTATCTTCACGTTTCTCAATTGATATTAAGTGAAATCACGTATCCTTAAAACCACATTACAAGTTTAATTGTTACTCAATTTTTAGGGTAAACAGTTTTGCGCCCACCGTGGGGCTAAGGATAATAGTGATTGCTTAATATTTTAATCTTTATAACACACACTGCTTTTACGCTTGTTCTCGTGAGTATTTTTGATTTCAGGAATCAACATGTCGAACTCTCAAGCAGTACCCACTCACATTGATATCGGCCTTGGTTTTTATGGCGAAAACGAACACGTAGTCGCCTCGGGAAACGGAGTGCCTTCAATCAATCTCGATGAACCACAGGCCGTAGATCCGGTTGATGTCAGTTCTCGTGTCGCCATTCGTGGAGATTTAGGCGCCGACCCTGAAAATAGCGTCCGCAGAGACGCCCGGGAAGCCGGTCAAAACGCACAAAATGGTGAAGAAGGCGGAATTAGCCTTCGAATGATATTTGACATGCTACAAACTAAGCAGGCCGCGATAGCGCAACTCCAAAATCAGAATCGAGCCCCAAGCAGAATCGAATTCGATACATACTAGAAGGTGTTCATAGGGTCGAACCCGTACAGGAGAAATTGAACGATAATGGATCGGAAACTGATCCCGCAATCATGAAGATGCTCGAGGAGCTCACCAAACGAATTGAATCGGGAGAAAGGAAGATCGAGGCTAATGATAAAAAGGTAGAAACATACAACTCCTGGGTTGATCAAATACCGGGGGCACCCCCGATTCTGAAGGGTTTGGACTCGAAAAAGTTCGTACAGAAGCCTTTCCCACCAAGTGCGGCTCTGAAGCCCATTCCGAACAAATTCCGCATGCCAGAAATTCCCAAGTACAATGGAACCACTGATCCTAACGAGCATGTCACTTCTTATACATGCGTAATAAAAGGAAATGACTTAGAAGACGATGAAATTGAATCTGTTCTGTTGAAATTTTTTGAAGAAACTTTATCGAAGGGGGCAATGATATGGTACCACAATTTGCCGCCCAATTCCATTGATTCTTTCGCCATGCTTGCCGATTCGATTGTAAAGGCACACGCCGGAGCAATAAAGGTCGCGACTAAGAAGTCGGACCTCTTCAAAGTGAGACAAAAGGACAATGAAATGCTAAGGGAATTCGTATCTCGGTTTCGGATGGAGCCCATGGACCTACCTCCGGTTACCGATGATTGGGCTGTCCAAGCCTTTACTCAGGGTTTGAACGAGCGAAGTTCGGTAGCGTCATGTCAACTAAAGAAAAATTTGATTGAATATGCAGCGGTGACCTGGGCCGATATGCATAACCGATACCAATCAAAGATCAGAGTCGAGGATGATCAGTTGGGAACCCCGTCCGGTTCCGTTTACCCAAATAGATCCGAAGGCAGGATTTCAAAGAGACATCGACAGAGAGCCCCGATCGAATAGCGATCGGTACCAATCATATAGCGCAGATCGTAGAAATAACATACCGGGACATAATCCCGTTCGAAATGATCGAAGGAATGATTGAGGTCAAAATTCTCGAGGGCTCATGAGTAAGAGTGGCTTCGGTAAACATGTCGAGCATAAGAAAGCACCACGGTTATCGGAATACAACTTCGGCGTTGATGCTTCAGGTATTGTGTCAGCCATTGGACGAATCAAGGATACTAGATGGCCCAGACCCCTGCAGACCGATCCAGCTCAAAGGAATCCAAATCAAATGTGCAAGTACCATGGAACCCATGGTTACAGAACTGAAAATTACAGACAATTAAGGGAGGAGGTAGCTCGTTTATTCAAGGAAGGTCATCTTCGAGAGTTCTTGAGCGAACGAGCAAAAAATCACTTCAGAGACAGGGATGCAAACAGGAAAAACGAATAGGAGAAACAACAACACGTGATTCATATGATCGTCGGTGGGGTTGATATTCCTCAGGGTCCGACATTTAAACGCACCAAAGTTACAATCACAAGGGTGAAGCGTACCCGAGACTATTTACCAGAAGATACCTTATCTTTCAACGGTGAGGATGTAGAAGGGATCAAACAATCTCACAACAATGCACTAGTAATATCTATCCTTATGAATAAAATTCAAGTTAAACGTGTGTTGGTTGATCCAGGTAGCTCGGCGAATATTATTCGATCGAGGGTCGTGGACCAGCTCGGCTTTCAGGATCAAATCGTGCCTGCTGCTTGAGTGCTCAATGGTTTCAACATGGCGAGTGACACCACTAAAGGGGAAATAATGTTGCCAGTAAACGTGGCCAGAACTATCCAGGAAACAAAGTTCCACGTGATCGAAGGTGATATGAGGTACAATGCGCTGCTCGGAAGACCTTGGATCCATAATATGAGGGCACTACCTTCAACGCTTCATCAAGTGTTGAAATTCCCAACACCTGAAGGAGTCAAAATGGTGTACGACGAACAACCAGCAGCCAAAGAGATTGATGAAGTAATACCAGTATCGGCACTAACATCAACAAAGGGAACAAAATCAAAGGAAAAACAGGAAGTCAAATAGCAACCACAGTCGCCGGCCTTGACCAGATCGGAAATTATTGAGGATGATGATTGTATGATACCTCGAACCTTCGTAATCCCCGATGATTCCGACGCCACAAAGTCGATGGTCGAAGAGTTGGAGAAAGTCATACTGATCGAGCATCTGCCTGATCGAAAGGTATACCTGGGCACGGGGTTAACTCCCGAGCTCAGGGAAAAACTCATTAAATTCTTTATTGAAAATATGTATTGTTTTGCTTGGTCCCACCTTGAAAAGACAGGGATCCTAAGTTCAGACCGGTAAAGCAAAAGAGAAGGCCACAGTCCGAGGTAAAGCATGCATTCATCAAGGATGAGGTAACCAAACTTCTCAAAATAGGATCCATCCGGGAAGTAAAATATCCTGAATGGTTAGCAAACGTAGTTGTAGTCCCCAAGAAGGGGAATAAACTTAGAATGTGCGTTGACTACAAAGACTTGAACAAAGCATGCCCTAAGGACTCCTTTCCTCTGCCGAATATCGATCGTATGATCGATGCCACGGCCGGCTACGAGATCCTTAGTTTTCTCGATGCCTACTCCGGGTACAACCAAATACAAATGAACCTGAAGGATCAAGAAAAGACTTCGTTTATCACTAAGTACGGTACTTATTGCTATAATGTAATGCCGTTTGGACTAAAAAATGTTGGTGCTACTTATCAACGCCTAGTAAACTGAATGTTCGAAGAACAAATAGGTAAGTCAATAGAGGTTTATATCGATGACATGCTAGTTAAGTCACTGCGCGCAGAGGACCATTTGACACATTTGCAGGAAACCTTCAACATATTGAGAAAGTACAACATGAAGCTCAACCCCGAGAAATGTGCATTCGGGGTCGGTTCAGGCAAGTTCCTCGGCTTTATGCTGTCAAATCGGGGAATCGATATCAACCCCGATAAAATCAAGGCAATCGAAGACATCACAGTCTTGGACAATGTTAAGGCCGTACAAAGATTAATAGGGCAGATAACTGCTTTAGGCCGGATCATCTCGAGGTCTTCAGATTGAAGCCATATGTTCTTCTCACTGCTCAAAAAGAAGAACAATTTCACTTGGACCCCGAAATGCAAAAAGGCATTGGAAGAACTAAAGTGGTATCTTTCGATCCGGCCATTGCTTCACAATCCAAAAGCGGATGAGCAACTCTACTTACATTTGGCAGTCTCAGAGGTCGCGGTAAGTGGTGTCCTAGTTCGAGAAGAGAAAGGTACGCAATTTTCTGTTTACTACGTTACCCGGACTTTAGGTGAAGCCGAGACCCTGTACCCACACTTAAAAATTTTTAGAGCTTGCTCTAGTAAGGCCCTCTAGGAAGTTAAAACCGTATTTTCAATGTCACCCAATTTGCGTTGTAACCACTTATCCCCTTCGCAACATTTTGCACAAGCCCGAACTCTCGGGCCGACTGGCCAAATGGGCCGTTGAAATCAGTGGGTACAATATCGAGTATCAACCCCGAATGGCCATCAAGTCTCAAATCTTAGCAGACTTCATGGCCGACTTTACACCAGCCCTCGTAGCCGAGGTCGAAAAGGAACTATTGCTAAAA